TGAAACTGCGTGGGAAACTCTGTTTTTCCCGTTTAATAAAATTCCATTTAGTCCATTTCAATGTTCAAATTTCTTCTAACAAAATATAATGATGCATTGTTGTTGCATTATGATTTTCTGATTAAACCTAAGAAATTCAAAAATTTAATATGAATAAGAAATTTGAAGGTTTATATTAATAGCTATAATTATATTTGTAAATTAATTGCAAAAATATTTTCTGCTACAGTAAGTAATAATGTTTGGGTAATCAAAGCATTTGTAATTATTACTTATTACAATAAGTACTGTAAATTTAGCATAATTTAGTTTTTAAATTGCAATAGTAACGATGATAGAAAAACACGAATTACTATTAGCATTAATTAAAAAAAACACATAATTAATTTTGCCATTTATTTAATTAGCATTAGCGTATACGAAATTATAAATACTGCAAGTGTATTTATATATACTACGTTAAAACAAAATGCAAAAATAACTTTTAATTGCTCATTTTTTTTTCAATTTAACTTTTGCCTTTAACCTTTAATTTAATTTCAGTTTAAATTTTATACCAAATTTTAACTAATTAGAAGTAAACAAACGAAAAAAAAGCAAACACACAACATACATAATAGGCATTATCGATCATAATCATCATTATTATAATCATCATTAGCCATCACTATCATCACCACCATCATCATTATCATTATTATTATCATCGTTATTATTATTATTATTATTACTATTAATTATTATGGTACATATATTTCCAAACAAAAAAATATATATATATTTATGTGATAGCAATACTAACAAGAATTAAAATTGAAAAAAATTTTTCACCACTAATTTATCAATTGAATCATTTGCTTAGCAAATTAGATCAGTTATATATTTGCATGTAGTGGAATTATATCATTGTAATAATTATTATTATCATTATTACAATCATATATGTTCAATTAACGCTTTATTTATTATTTGATTAATTGTTAGAATTAATTAATTTAATGTTAAAATTAATTATTGTCAAAAAGAATTATAAGATTGAAAATGCAAATTTTGAACTAATTGAGGCAATGAAACAATTAATACATCAAAAAAGATTATCATATGATATTTATTCTATCAATAATTTACGGTTATTAAAAACAAAAGAATTAAACAAGCAAGCTTGCAGCATTAATTTTTACAATTTAAAACACTTTCCTTTTTTTGATCCACTCCATCATGCATCAGATATAAATCATATATGAATTTAATTTAATATTTAAGTAATTATATTTCAAAGGTAGAAAATTTGATATTTAAATGATTATATTTCAAAGATATCTAATTCAATATTTAAGCAATTATATTTCAAAGATATTTAATTTAATACTTAAGTAATTATATTTCAAAGATGGAAAATTTGACATTTAAGTAATTATATTTCAAAAATATTTAATTTAATATTTAAGTATTTATATTTCAAAGGTAAAAAATTTGAAAGGTAATAGCAAAAGTGTTCGCAACAAACTATACTCATTAATTGATATTCGATAAATTAATTATATAAGTAATTATCATGCAATAAAAAGTAGCAAAAATTCATTGCTGTAAATGCTTCTGTTTGAGATTTATTTGCATTTAAAATAAACTATTGATTTGATTGTTTGACTGATTGATTGATTGAATGATTGGCTGATTAATTGATTGATTGATTGATTGAGCTTAAAGAATTGGTTATTATTAATTTAAACAAATAAAATACTTTTCGATACTTTCCCAAAAGTTTTGCAATATTTGATAATTGAATATTTTAAAGTATTACACTGAAAGATATATAAATAAAATTAAAAGATTCGAAATTTAAAAATAGTTATAATAAATTATAAAATTTACTGAGACAATAAAAACGCAGGAATTCATCACATTACAGTAATTTCTAACTGATTCAATTTCATTCAACTTCAATTTTCATTTTTATTTCAATTTAATTTTATGCCAAATTTCAAATAATAAAAAATAAAGAAAAGAACAAATATAAATACATATATTAATAGCACTGATAATCATTATTATATTATCCATACCATTGCTAATAATAATAATAACATTGGCATTATCATTAGTAGTAACATAATTATCATTCTTATCATCACTATTAATATGATTATCATAAACACTTCCATTATTACTATTAATATTGTTATTATTATTACTTATTATTTATTATTATTATTAATATTATTATTATTACCACTTATTATCATTTATTATTATTATTATCATTATTATTATTAATTATTATTATTGTTATTATCATTAGTTATTACTGGTTATTATTATTAATTAATATTAATGCTATCATTATGATTACACAAAATTGGATGATGCAAATATAAACAATGCGATGAGATCTTAAAAGGAAAAGATTTTAGAAATTACTTCAGAACGAAATTGTTTTCTTTCATTTTCTTCAAAAGAGAAAAATTGAAAAAATGGATGGCACAAAAATTAAAACAATTCATCCTAAATCACTGAATTCATTTCTAATTTATCATAACAGCATGAAATAATTAATTAATAAAACAATTTTGTATTATTTTCATCAATTACTAGCATTATCATTTCTAATTTATCGAATTTATTCCTTATTATCATTGCCAATTTATCATAACAGCATGAAATAATAAATTAATTAAACAATTGTATTATGTTTTATTAATTATTACTATTATTATTATTATACTAAACAATTCTCATCTTGCATTATTTCAATTCTTCAACAATCATTGCTAATTTCAGTAATAATACTTATCGCTATTTCATAATTTTTTGATGAAATTTCTTTACAATGAAAAAAGTTTCACACAAATCAAACAATTAGCGAAGATATATTTCAATTAATTAGAATCTTAAGAATTTATGATTCTTAATTTTTTCTTTTTGACCTAATTTATATTTTAGGCCAACAAAACGTATTGGAAAATTGCTCACAAATAGCAGCGCAAAATTAACAAAAAGCATAATTGAAAGAACTTTCAATTGCTTTTACGGAAAAAATTAAATTTGTAAATTTCCGCTTATTTTCATTTTGGTAGAAGAGAGAAATAAAAAGTATGCATACAATAAATGTTAAATTAAAAATGAATTAAATCGAAATAATCATATTTCAAATAAATAAAAATAAAAATGAAAATGAAATTTTAAAACAATAGCGATCAAATATTTTAATTAATTGATGAAATAATTATTGACGAGAAATGTTTAATTTCAAATTTTACCATATAATTTATTAATTTGATTGTTTGCATTTTTTTTTTCACCATTCAATAAATTTTACACTAAAATTAATTACACATTAATTAATTTTACACTAAAAAATTTACACCATGATTTGCGGTAAGAAAAAAAAGCAATTGTTTTAATTATAAAAACAAAAATGTTTCCTTTTCACAGCAAACTTTTTAACATAATTAAAACATTTGTTTGTATGTTAATGATACATTTAATATATATGATTGCCGGCAGAAATCAAAATCAATTATGTTGTGAGAGATAAATTATGTGGTAAAATTTGTTTCATTTACAAATTAAATGAAAAATGACTATTTTGAAATTAACGAAGAAAATGGCTAGTTTGATTTATTTTATTTTCGATTTTGCAAATCATTCGAAATTTCAATTTGATAAATATGTCGAGTAATGGCAGGAAAGAATGATTTTGAAATTTCATTTTAAATTTAAACAAAAAAAAAAACAAAAAGTTCATTTTCGAAAAAATAAAAATTATTTACTAATTTTAGGTAAGCTATTTTTTTTTTGTTTATTCATTTCCTAATTTTTTTGCAAACAAACAAATTTGAAAATACAAAATTACTTTTTCGTCAAATTTTCCGAAAATATTATCTAAAATAAAATATTTTTTATAAACAAAAAAAAAAAAGTTCAAAAATTTTGAAATTAAAAAATTAATTGATGAACAAAGTTTGAAAAAAAAAAACAAAAGACTAATTAATTTAATGAAATGGGAGAAAAGGAAAATGAAAATTGAATTTTGAAAAGATTAAAACAAAAGAAGAAAAAATATTGTGACATTTTTTTTTGCTGTATTTCCTGTTTTCTTCAGTAAAGACCACAACCCCTTAGATTATTGGCAATGATAACATCAGTGACAGCATCAAATACGAATTGAATATTGGTAGTATCGGTTGCACATGTCATATGACAATAAATTTCTTTGTTAGCCGATTTATTTTTAGCTTCAAATTCCGCTTGAATATATGCACTCGCTTCGTGATAATCTTGTCGACCTTTAAAATAATTCCTTATATATATATATATGTTGGAAATGAATTGTTTAAATTTCGAAATTAATTAATTAATTAATTGTTTAATTTGGAGAAACAATCTAATCAAATGTAACAGTATTATTACTTAATTTTTCTTTTGCTTTATTGAATAATAGTTCTGTTATATTTGATTAGATTAGGCTAATTTTTCATTTTACAACTATAAAAACTAATTTGATCCGTATCACGAAAGAATTACTAAGTATATAAATGGAAGAAATACAGAAATAAAATTGGAATAGAATTAAATTGAAATCAAATAACGAAAAAAAATGAAGAAGTATCCCCAAAATGAAAATCACTATAATATGTAAATTTAATTATTTTATACCATGTTCTAATAATATCCGATTTATTCAATTTTTCTTTCAGTCCTCTTTCTCTCTCTCTCTCTCTCAGATATTATAATTACAAAATAGAGTAAACAAATACCAGAATACTCCGGAAAACATATAGTTAACGGTGATTTCTTAATTTTTTCCTCAAATAAATCCTTCTTATTCAGGAATAAAATGATTGACGTATCCGTAAACCATTTATTATTGCAAATTGAATCGAACAATTTCAACGATTCGTGCATTCGATTCTGTAAATGAATTATTATGACAAATGACATCATAAATATGTATGCAAAATTTTGAAATAAAAAAAAATTAAAATAAAATTTTGAAATCAAAATGAATTATTGTAAAAATGAAATGAGTAAAAATGATATCACAAAATACACATGTAAATTTGAAATTGTTACAGTAAATGTATTACTGTAAAAATAAAATGAATAAAAATTACATCACAAAATATATAAGCAAATTTGAAATTTGAAATTGTTATTGTAAAATGAAATGAGTAAAAATGATATCACAAAATACACATGTAAATTTGAAATTGTTACAGTAAATGTATTACTGTAAAAATGAAATGAATAAAAATTACATCACAAAATATATAAGCAAATTTGAAATTTGAAATTGTTATTGTAAAATGAAATGAGTAAAAATGATATCACAAAATACACATGTAAATTTGAAATTGTTACAGTAAATGTATTACTGTAAAAATGAAATGAATTAAAATGATATCAGAAAATATGCATGTAAAGTATTAAAATAAAAAATGTTAAAAATTTAGGAATGAAAGATGAAAAATTCTGCAATTAACAATTTGAAACATTTTATACTATAATAGAGAGATTTATTAAAATATTAACAAAATTTATTTACTATAATAATTTTCTTATTTTATTTTTAATTCATATTTATTTATTTATTTGATTCTTATTATCAACTCTTATCATATCATTGAATTTATCACTATTCAATTCAATTTCACTAAATCAAATTCATTCGTAACTTTTTCTCAAATTTCTTAAATAATTAAAATTTTCAATTTTCCTCCTAATAACATTGAAAATTAGTGAAAGGGAAAATCTTTGTCTAAAACTAAAAATCGTTGAAAATTAATCAAATTCTGATAAATGGTTTTAAAATGTTTCATTCTTGCGATTTATCATAAATTATTCAGTACTTTAGTGAATTCATAGCTATTATTCAATGATTGATTGATTACTTTGCCATTTAAAATATGCTACAAATATTTTAATTATTCTAATAATTAAAATTTAATTTTTGTCATTTAAAATATGCTACAAATATTTTAATTATTCTAATAATTAAAATTTAATTTTTGTCATTTAAAATACACTGCAAATATTTTAATTATTCTAATAATTAAAATTTAATTTTTGTCATTTAAAATATGCTACAAAAATTTTAATTATTCTAATAATTAAAATTTAATTTTCTTCTAATGAATAGTAAACTAAAGAAATTGAAATGCAAGAATTTATTTATTGAATTAATTCCAATTTCTCTCGTTTTTTTTCTTTTAAATTTTTAATGTTATTTTTCACAAGAAAAATTTCTTAATTTCAGGTTCAATTTTTTGCAGAAAAAAATTTTTGAAAAAGGAAAATGAATTAACCGTTGTTTCATCCTCGTGTAATACTTGATCATATTCGGACATTGCAACACAAAATATAATTGCTGTAACATCTTCGAAGCAATGAATCCATTTCTTCCGCTCTGAACGTTGTCCACCAACATCAAATAATCTAAGAATATAGATAAAAAAAATTTTAACAACTTATCTTATCATTTCGTTAACATAAAATCATTTAACAGTTTTACAAACATAACTTATTACTTTTGCTATACAAATATTTTCACTTGCTAGTTTCATCGCATAATATTATCATTTATTAACCTGAGCACCATAGATGTTATTATTTCTCAGCGCTTATTTTGTAAATATTATCATTCATCAGTTTGCCAATATTAATATTATCACTTATCAGTTTTATCGTATCATTATTATCGCTTATCAGTTTTATCGAATAATACCACTTATTTGGCTTGATCAACAACGATTAACATTTATCAGTTTATTATATAAATATTATTACTACTTAATCAGTCTCCCATGCTAATGTCATTACTAGTTCTATCACATGCATAAATACAACTTATCAGCTTTACTTTATAAATATTTAATTAATGAAAAAGCAATAAATTGCTAATTATACTTCAACTTAATATATAATAGCAATATATTAATTAATCCTATCCATTTTTATCAATTATAATCGAAAACTCGTCAAATATGACCAGCTGTCAACATTGTTAATTAAACTATACCAAAAATAATGATATCAATTAAAAATTTTTCTCATCATCTTTCCAGTTAGATAATTAAATTAAACTAAAATTACCACAAAAAAAAAGATGGTTAGCTTACTTGAAATTAAGATTCTTGAAAGTGAAATGCACCTCAACGATACCAGTGGTTTTGACCCGAGTTCGTAAAATATCCTGCTCTGTAGGTTGATAATTTGCTTGACCTAATCGATCCAAATCATCCAAAAAACTGAAATGGAAAAAAATTTTTTCCTTTTTCATTTTTAATTTTTTTCAACTAATTCAAATATTGCAATATTTAAATCCTTCTGATTTTCTTCAAATGAAATGATACATCATAAATTTTGTTCATTATATTTCAGGACAAAATTCTCAAGAGAATCATAGTTAGTTATATTTTGTCGGTGAGAAATATTATTGTTGAAGATTGAATATCTTTATTTGTTACGGTTTTCTTTTTCTTTAGCTTTCGTATGGTTGATTGATATTTTTTTCCTATTTTTCAACCTTTAACCATTTAATACGATCATTTTGAAAATGATAAAATGGCAATACTTTTGTTGTTGAAATGTCCTTAAATAATAAGAGGACTTATTTGAAATAAATGATATTTTAGTATCATCGATTGTGCCACATATGTAGGCGTGTGTGGGAGTGTTTATGTATATATAAGAATGTGGATGTAATTGTAGAATTGTGTAGATATATGTGTAGGTGTGCGGATGTGTAGATAATATGGATGTGATTGTTAAGTGTGTATTTTAGATGTGTCGAGTGCGTGCACATGTCTGGGTGTGCGTGCGTAGATGTACGGGTGTGATTGTGTAGGTGTATGGGATGCGTGCATATGTTTGATGCGTAAATGGATGCAATTGTATAGATGTGTGGGATGCGTGCATACGTTTGATGCGTAAATGGATGCAATTGTATAGATGTATGGGATGCGTGCATATGTTTGATGCGTAAATGGATGCAACTGTATAGATGTGTGGGATGCGTGCATTGTGTGGGTATGTGTGCATATTGTGGATGGGTAGATTTATGGGTGTAACTGTATAGGTATGTGTGTGTCGGATGCATGCATATGTATGTATATGTGTTTGTGCAGATGTGTAGATGTGCATGTTATATGTTTGTATGTAGATATATGTGCACAACTTACTATTTAGCAGAATCGTTAAGTTGATATTCATTTGAACGGGCGAAACAATCATGAACACCGCTATCAGCCCAGAGACGTTTCATTGCTGATAGCAAATCGTCGCTGAAGGGTTCGGTATCTTCCATCCTTGCTACTACATCCATTACTAATTTTGCATCTATCTGAAATAGAAAAACCTTAATATAAATTTTTATCCAATTAATTTTTTACAGATAAAATTATTAAATAAACAGTTCCACTTATCGCATGGTATTAAATTTGAATTTTAAGACTTAAATTCAATTTGAAAAGAATAATATTAATTAATTTCATTATTAAATCTCTTATTATATTTCTGCTAAGTTTGAATTTTAATATTAATATTTGTTGAATAATAATGTTTTGCATGAATTTTAATATTTCATGTCGGTTGATTGGTGTTGAATATTAATGAAATTTTAATGTTCCTTGATATAACAACATATGCTTTTCATCGCTTTCTTCTCCATTTTTATACTTTATTTCTTGTTTTCGTTTATCATCTTCCGATGGATTCAAATTTTACAATTTAAATTTAAATTTCATCTTCCGATGGATTCAAATTTTACAATTTAAATTCAAATTTCATCTTCCGATTGATTCAAATTTTACAATTTAAATTTAAATTTCATCTTCCGATGGATTCAAATTTTACAATTTAAATTCAAATTTCATCTTCCGATTGATTCAAATTTTACAATTTAAATTTAAATTTAAGATATATATTATAAGTTTCATGAATCATTGCATTATAAACATTGTTGCAAATATATTTTTATTTTTATCGTTTTTTAAAAATCATTTTTTGAATTGTTTCTTTTTTCTGATGTAATATTTAATATGAAATGATATAATATTTTATATGACATAATATTGATATAATATTTAGTATGAAATGATATCACATTTGATATGATATGAAACATCTCATATATCAAAACAAACATGATAGACGAATATTTTCATCCGTAAAAATAAAGTAAGTAATCGAAAAAGAAAATGAAGAAACAATTATTTCAAAAAAAAAAGACCGAAACAAAGCACGCAAGAAAAAACTACAAAGTTTAAAATTTCCGTTAGAAATTGTACATATTATCTCTCAAATTTAAACTTTCTCAAAAATTAATCAAAAGAAAATCCACAAAATCCTGATCAAATTTAAAAATCGTGCGTTTAAATCAAGATCGTGCGTTTAAATCAAAATCGTGCGTTTAAATCAAGATCGTGCGTTTAAATCAAAATCGTGCGTTTAAATCAAATTCGTGCGTTTAAATCAAGATCGTGCGTTTAAATCAAAATCGTGTATTTTTATGCATTTTAAATCAACGACTACAATTTATTATTTATTATTTGTGTTTTGCAAAAAAAAAAAGGAAAACAAAATTAAATAATTATATAGTTTTTCAAAAATACGAAAATCATATTAATAATTAATTTATTTTTAAAAAAAAAAAATATTTCCCTTCCCTTTTCTTCTATCTCTCTCTCTCTCTCTCTCCTTCTTTTCTTTTTCATTTTATTTCATTGACAAATTTTACTTTATTTTTATTTTTCATTTTCTGATTCATTGATTATTTTCAAATGAAAAGAGAAGATAATGCAAACAAGCAACTTGTCATCATTAAGATAATTGCATACTTTTCTCATACATTCCAATAAACTTTATTTTCTGAATTCTTTTCTCCCTTTTTTTTTTCGCCTGAAATCCTGAAATTAACAGAAAGCTGATTAAAATTGATGGAAGAAGAAATAAGATAGCAATTATCTTCCATCATTTCCGATTTATTAATTTCAGTTTCTCGGGAAAAAAAAACCGGAAAAGAAAATCGTAATTAATTTTTAATTAACAACGATAAAAAAAGTGCTAATAATTCAAAAAATAAAATTGGATAAAAGAAAAAAAAAGTTTTGTTTATATTTTTCAAAAATTTTTGTATAAATTATTAAATTATTGTATGTTTCTTTTTTTTTTTCTTTTCCTTATTCAATTTATCTCTTTTTCATTGATTTTTCTTTTCTTTTCATTCCCTTTTTCATTGATTTTCCTTCTTTACTTTCTTTCTTTTCCTTCCACATCATTTCATTTTCATTTCATTTTTTAATGAAAATTTTAGTAAAAATTGAATTGCTTTAATGGAAAAAAATTAAATATGAAAAAAATATATATTTATTTATTCAACCGTTTAATAAAAAAATGACTAAATGAAAACCGGTTTGAAATTGTGATAAGAAGCTCCTTTCAACCCGATCAGCGTTGATGGTTCCATTACTTTTTGTTGGCAAGTCCTAAAACACGCGCACTATAAAAATTAGCTGCATTTAA